CTTAAGAAAACCTGAAATGAAATTTTTTCACATGCCATGTTGAACTCCTCAGAGCGCACAGAACAAGGAAAAGGCATCTGCCAGAAAAAAAAAAAAAAAAGAAAAAATTGGCCACTACAAGCAAATATGTGCTTAACAGGGGCTGAAATGGGAGCTTAGAGGAAGAGTGTCAGGTACATCAAAATGAGAGTGAGTTGTGAAAATGGGGCCACTATTGTAGATCCATAATAAAAAAATAGTACCTAAACTTCCTTCAGATTGCCCCATCTGTAACTTGATATTAATCTGTTATTGACAACAACAACAAAAGTATTAGTTCACCTTTTGTTTATTCCTTAAATAACCACACATATTTTTATTATCAGCATCTTTTTTCCCTGTGTGAAATAGAATACTCCTTAATAGGGAAAATGGGCCCATTTTTTGAGATATTAGTTCTTTTAAAATATTCTTTATTCTATTTGATGCATGGATTCCTACTTGAATTTTCAGGTAATCATTGGAAAATTTTACACCCGTCCTTTAGGAGAAAGAGAAGCAGGAGAGGTTGAGAAAGGAGGAGGAGGCCAGGGGTTTTGTCCAGTTTGTTGATTTGGTGGGGGTTTTTCTTTGTTTTTGCTGGCTGACAAAGTGTTGAACAGCTCTAGCTGCAGAGAGAACTTAGCAAGAGGCACATACTAAAATATATGAATGCTCTGATGGTCTCCAGAAACAGCTAGGTTATTCGCGTGATGTTAAAAAGGTGAGCTTTGGAAAGCGGTTTAAGAAGGCTGTGCTTATTGTCAGGGAGTGGGTTTTATTTGGCTTTTTGATGGAGAGCAGGTTTGAAAAATTCTTTATTCCTGTCTCCTATGGAAAATCTAGAGAGCCTCCTTGGTCATGACCTTGTAGCACTGTGCGGCTTGGCCAGAGGAGCGGTACCAGACCGGCAGCTACTGCTTGGGCAGCGTGGATAAAGAATGAGGATGGGCACTGATGAGAATAGCCCGGGAGTATGCAGCTCCCTGCCTTGGGTCCCATAAGGATGAGTTTGTCACAATAAATAAATAACAAGGGGATGGTGGGGGATAGAGATTAATTGGGTGGCCGTACTACTCGCCAATGGAGTCTCACCATATGGTGGACATAATCCTGCTTTGCTGATGTTGGTTTAGTCACCAGTGTAAAGTTGCATAGAAACAGACCTGGAGACTTTGACCAAAGCTACCAGATCTGCTCATCACACGGTTCCATCTTCACTTGCCTTTATACATGAAGTCAGGCATTAAAAAACCAGCTATTTAGTCACCCTCAATTCTGTTGTTATTGTTAAATTGAGTTAGAAAATACTCTGGAGAGGAATGTAGAAATTATTTCTTGCTTCCCAAAATACTTGATAAGAAAAAAAAAGGCAAGTGAAACAGAACCTAAGGGTGACTGGAAATATTCCTTCTAGGTGACTTTGGATCCACTCTAACAAGCAATTTTCTAGATAATGTAGTTGAAAGCTTCCTAAGCAGGCACTGCCGTTGCCATTGTAATGGCTGTATTGGTGGGAATGATACTTTATTATCTAGAGCAGCGGCTTGAAAGCTCAGCCCTGTGCTTTTTCCTCCTTTTAGTAACTGTGCCTCTGAAGGTAAATCACTTAACCTCTATGTGCCTCCTTCAGCCCCGAGTAAAGTGGGCATAGTTATGCTCACCTTTCCCACAGAGGTATTGTAAAGCTTAGTTTAATGTTAATAAGATGTTTTAATTTCCAGGATAAAAGGATGTTCTATAAATATACATTAGAAGTAATAATAGTTTTAATGTATGCCATTATTTTATAACAGTGCTTTTCTAGTTTTAGAAATTTTTTAGTGGTTTGAAATTATTACAGAATCCGTTTTTGTTAATTAAAGATTGACATTCGGGCAAAATTTGTTGAATTGTTCTATAAATCCAGATCCGTGTGCACTGAGCATGCCCAGAGCCCTGCTCACCTGCACTTTGGGATCATCACTACAGCCCTTCGGCTTCTAAAACAACTCTTTGATGCATGTGCTCAGAAGTTTGATGGCTTCTAAATAGAATGGTTCAAATATTTCAAAGCACTTGAGATTCGTATAGTGTGAAGCAATTTAAAATTATTGTACTGCAATTAATTTTAAATAACTGAGCACTGCATATGTCTAGAAACCCATACAGATCCAAATGGAAGCTCTCTAAAAATTGAAATGATTCAATAAATTTAAATCACTCTGAAGAAATGGATGTAAGTACTGTAAATCATTTTGTGAGGGGGATAAGCAAATTTTCTAGAAGTGAATCTGAGGGTAGAGACTCTAATTAGATTTTTTATTTTGGGGTTTATGATGATGAAATGTAGGTTAATTTATATTTCCCAGAGATATGAGGGCAGCTCTTGTTGATCCATATGGTTTCTTGTATCTTTTACATAGACTGCTTTTTTTTATTTTCCAAGATTACAGAAACTTAGCAATCCAACTTTGCACATATTTTTTTCCATTACAAATATCTTTCCCTCCAAATCTGTATAAAAAGACATGAGAGAAACACTGGTCCACAGCTAGAAATGCCAAGTGTATTTTTAAATGCAGCTAAAAAAATACTGCAGAATTAAACATTGTGCAGCATGGAAGCTAACATTTTGTGGAGCTGGGCTGCTCAATGAATATGAATTTTTATATGCCTAAATCCAGGTACAACCTGTATCTGTAGGTACCAAAGTGGATTACTGTCTGATAGCTGTTCGTTAGCTTAGAGCATGTTCTCTGTCCTTCCCTTACAGATGTATTAGAAAGATGCTATCTAATGTAGGAAGGCTGGTAAAAATACTGATGCGAGACCTATCGGAAAGTAATGTCATTTCCACTGGCTTCAGCTCAGCTCCAGGAAAATCCGTGTGCTGGTTCCTCCTTCTGCCACAGCAAAGCACGGTTGTGCGCGGCTCTCCGCGCCGTGCGTTTAGCTCTAGGATTACAATTCCTCCCAAGGATCGGAGCCAGAAATCAGAAATTAGTGCTACCGCCAACACTTGCCTGACCCTTCCAGTTTCACTGTAAGAGCTGCAGAAAAAATAGGACAGCGCAGTCCCTCTTCGTGCAAGTGCTCGGCACTTGCCGTTGGCATTCGTGCGTCCTCCGGAGACATTGCCACCTCTCGGCAAACGGCTCGCCAGGGTCCGGCCGCCGTCCCGCACCAGCAGCGAGGCGTCCCAGCTCCTCGGGGTGGGACAGAGCCCCGCGCGGCTGAGCATGCCGCTCCGCCAAGCTAGTCGTCGTGGTCTGGGGAGAACATTTTTGAATTTCCTCCATGTCTGGTGGGCTCTTCCCGGGCAGAGGAGCCACAGAAAGCGAGAGGGGCCCCACTGCAGGGTCTTCCTTAAGGCCTTACCTTACTTTTAGACAGTTGTCATTATCTTTGTCTAAAGGTCATGGGTAAATTGAATAAAAGGAAAGCTGTGTGTTCCTGTCGATGCACAATGGCAGTATTGACTTTCCTAATCCAGTTTGCTGAGGGGTGAGAGAATTAAATTAGATATCTAAGCACAGAAATTGAGAGCCTTTGAAAACAAAGATAAGGAGACAGCCTGTATTTTCCTTTTCCTGGGAGCTCTGGGCTCAAGATTTTGCAGGTGTGTCATCTGATCCATGGCTTGCATCGATCAAAACTGTGCCAATGCATATTTAATTAGCAAGGGGACCCTGGATGCATTATGGCCATCATCCCTATATTGAATGGACTGTCAGACTTTCTGAATGCTTCCCCACCCCCCCGCTTCGTTGTTTGGGGAGCTTCTGCATTTTGTCTGAGCAGCTAAAAGTTTCTTTGTTTTTAGCTGGTGATGCATACAGCACCACTGAGGAGAATACAAACAAGTAAAGTCCTAAAGTGTTTATTTTGTCTAGGAAAAAGGGCTGAACCAATTTGAATCCTTTGGGTAACGGATTTTTGTATCTCTTGGAATTAAAAAAACACAGTCGCATGATGTTTACTTTAAGAATATTTTATTATAACAAATAAAATCTGTGCTCTGGGATTTCTTAAGGAAGCCTTTGATGACAATTTGAATTAAGTCAAAATTAACGTTTGCTACTGCAAAGGAATAAATAGAAAATGTTCCAGAAATGAATCAGTAAGCAGGAATCAAAGGCTGTAAACTGTTTTAAAACCAAACATTTAGAAGTGAATCAAATACTTGTTTGTAATATCAAGGAACAAATATGGGAATACACAGATTCCCCACATTCTAGGCTATCACACGATAGCAGTAAATCATTTATGGGCTTGTGAGAACAAAGAAAGTTGATTTAAAATGAAACCGTTTCGATACAGCTTTAGGGTCTCGCAGCCTCTCGGTGAAGTTTCACGTTCTTATTCCCTACGACTAGGAAAGTAATCAGGAATTTCTGCATCCAAAAAAAAGTTAGCCTGGGAGTTGTGGAGATCTTTGTTTGCATCTACCTTGGTACAAAGCCACCCCAGCAGACAGAGTGTTGCCTGATAAACAGATGTAATACACAAAGTCTGCTTACAATACCGAGCAACAGACTGCAGGCACATGTTTTGGTCTCATTCAAACTCATCAGCATAGTCTAGCTAGCTGTTTTGTTGCTAGTCTACTTACGGGGTAGCTTAGTAGCGTCTTACTGGTGAAGTAACAAGGAGGGTTTTTGCCACAAAAGTTTTGTGGCAAGGGCTCATGGGAAAATCATTTGCATACATCTTGTTACAAAGGCTGACTACTTCCTGGCTTAGACAAAGTGTTGCCTGATAAACAGACTTAACACACAAATGTCTGTCTGGAATAAACAACAGCAAGCTTTGATTTACATTTCCATTATCAAAGATAATCTCCTTCCCAGTGTACAGGAATTAAGAGTCCTCGCCTTATAAAAAAACCCCAGGCTGGCACCACGGGGATTTTACCAGCGCAGAACCTTATTCGAGAGCGGCGGGGATGGGGTGTACTGTACCGGGGGGGTATAAAATAAAACTGGAAATCTGGTACGGATATGTACACGTGTGACGGTGAGGTGTATGATAATGAAGCACTTTGAACTCCCTATAAAAGTTGACTTGAAAGCGATGGCTGGAGTTAAACCGAGAGCCAGGCCTTCCTTAAAAGAAATAGTAGCAGCCACCAAAATAACCGTAAATAATAATTATAGCATATATGGAGCAATCCCTATGTGTTTACATTATAATGTATAATGAAGGGAAAGTGAGTGTAGAAAAGCGTCAGTCCTGGTGCTGGTTTCTGTTTGTAAATCCCTTAAGCTCTCCACGTAAGACTATATATAAAGGAGCATGATTTAGATATGTATTTTTTTAACATGTATAAATCTTTGGTAGAATCCATGCCCAAAATTATAGATGAAAAATTTATTGCATGAACACAACCCAGCCATATAAATATTTTATTACAAATAGGATTCTGAAACTTGAATAAAATATGTCAGTTTATTATACAATATTTCCCGCCCCCAAAAAATGATATGAATGGAAAATTTAACTGATGTGCTTCTGCGGCGCTTCTGCGAGGTGCTGGCCTGGCAGCAGAGGAGAGAGAGCCCGCTTTATTGAGCTGCAGAGCAGGCTCAGCATGGGCAGTGGCAGCACAGCCTTGATCATTTGGCATCGCCGATGATTTTTTTTCTCCACTTTGCAGGGATCACCTTTACTGTTTTGAGGATAGATGCAGTTGCACCTGAGTTAGCACGCTGGCTGCTAGTGAGGGCTCAGTTTCTAGTGGGGGCTGGCTTTACATAAGTAAAAAATAATCTTGACACCCGTTAATTCTGTTTGCGCAGACCAGCAGACGATAAGGCTGGTCCCTGTAGGTCGCTGCCATCCGCAGCTGGATTCAACACGCCCTGGAAAACACGGCGTGTTGAGGAGGCGCGAGGGCCCAAGAAGGTGTCCCGTTTCTCCCAAGTCAGGTAGCCATGAAGCGGCTTAGCACTGGGAAGTGCCATGACACTCAAAGCGGGCTTTTTTGGTGGAGTGTAACAACTCTTCACCGCCTGTGTCACGGTCTACAAAAAAGAACAACATTGTCAGTCTGTTGACATTGGTCCTGTCCACGGGCCAGACTTTCCTGGGAAGGTTTTATTCTTTCCAAACAATGGAGTGCTCCCTTCCAACGCTGCGAGCCTTGCTTCCACGCAGCCGTTGTGCAGCCCGGCTGGAGCTGCGCTCCTGCTGCAGCTGAAAAGGAAAATTGCGTATTGAAAGTCCAGAGCTTCTGTCGTGGAGCTGAAGGTCCCTGCCTGCTTATGGATTGAGATCAGGCAGACCTGGGTCTCGAGCATAACCATCTTGGTCACACTGGGGTAGCACATTGCTTAAGAAACAAATCCAGAAAGGAACAGAGAATAGAGACGTTGTAGAAACTGCTACTTCAGAAAAACTAGCCTGTTGTGTTGTGGGGTTTTTTTTTCTTTATCCTTTAATCATAGTTGATTCTTGGAAGTAGAGAGTAAAATAGCTTTTACATGCTTTTTATCCTGTTCCCCCGTGATTACAGTTGATACCAGATCCCCTTGAGCTTCTCTTGTCCAGTAACCTCGGCTTCAGTGTATGTACTCGCACTAACTCTGGCTAGTTCAGGGTTAAAAATTCCAACCACTAACTTTTCTTTAACTAAAAAAGCCCCCAAATAAAACCCATTGTGCTATTCAAGGTTAAGCTTCCTTAAATATAAAACTAGATTCCTCGGTGATATTTTTTTTATTTTTAAATCAGCAATCTTAATAGTGGTTCCTCACTATAATATTTCCAACTCCATCTGAAATCATTTAAATCCTCCCCTTAATAACATGCACTTTATTGTAATATACAGATTCTTTGGCTTCCTACCAGCCTTAGCTTAAGGCACCAATGAAACTCGTTGCCGCAGGGGGCCGTGGATTCAAGAGGGGCTCACATCTACTGTATATTTTGTTTTGTATGTTTTCCAATGGCTCTAATTATTGCAGGTGGTAGAATTTAACTGGCAGTGTTGTTGCTAAAGAAAATAGGCATAAAGTGTATACTGTTTTGCAGAATGACTATCAAATATATAGAAAAGAGAAAATCAAATGAATTGTTAAACTGCTCTATAGTAAGTGATTTTATTGATTTAATGCAAATGCTTATGAAAACGATCTTCCATTTATATCAATTATGTATGGGCAAAAATTAATTTATTCCTCCGGTCACCTGTTTGGCTAACTGACTCAGCAGGACAGACATTCCCCCTCCTGTTGTAGCCGAGCCCGCAAAACACTAAACATTCAGAAAGCTGGAATGTTAAAGTTTCCATGTGCAAAACAACAAAAAAGCCCCGACAGGAGTTACTGCCAACTGCTGAAAAAGCAGAGAGCGAGCGGTGGAGGCTGAGCAAGACTCTCTCGTCCTAGGCAAGACTGTAAAATACAACGGCTCTGATTTTGCCAGTCCCTTAACCATGTGGTGGCACATTTATATGTACTGGATCATCTGCGGCATCTGAATAAAATCAGGGAAGCAAAATTCTGCATATAAACATTTTGGCTAAGTGCCTTAACTCAGTCTTCTTATCTGGGGTTTCCACAAGATGCCACCTTGCATAACAATGCTGAGCATACACTTGCCCGGTACTTTTTTTCGGTAGCCTCCCGTGGTCTCTACCGCAGTATAGATTGGTTTTAATTCTACCTCGTCCTGCATTTTATTGCCATGTGCCCCTCCATGAAGAATAGTGATTAAAGCCTCTGTTGTCTTTTTTAGAAATTTATATTTGGTTTCAGCAGAAGGGGTGGTTTACAGGAAAATGGAATTGGGAAAAATGTTATCACGGTAGCCAGAGTAATGAAAGAAGAAAGTTAAGATGCAGTATGCAAACAAATGTCCTATGGCCAGTAGAGTCTCTCTCGTGCCGCTTTCTTTGGTGCTGGAAAAAGAGCCCTCAACACAAACAAAAGTACTTTGTTTCTCAAAATCCAGGAGCAGCTCTCACCCTGTGTTGCTGCCCACCGGCTGCAGGGCTGTGCTGGGGACCGAAGGTGCCAGGCTGGGGGCTGAGCGCGCCAGTGCCGAGCCCAGCTCCTGTGCTTGCCGCTGAGCCCTCATTCCTCTCCCTGCTTTGCTGGATTGCTTAAAATTTTGAAAGGAAAGCATGCTTCGATTCCCATATTTCGGCAGTAACTTTTTCAAATACAGCAATTTTTGTGGAATTCTGACTGTACTTTAAACATAAAGCCCAAACGCTGATTGAACCATGGCTTGCTGGAGGAAAAGAAAAACCTAAAAAATAAGCAAAAGCCTAATGCCTGCCCTGTAAAATGAAATCTGTTGAATGTTGACTTTGAATGTTAACTAAATACTTTACATTCCTAATATTTTACCTTTGTTTCTACCTTTGCGGTATTGGAAACATGAAACTTCTTGCCAAAATCTAGAGACCGGAATATAACAGTACTGTGCATATTACCCGGTAGTCTATCTGCTGTCACTGATTTGAGCTTCAGTTAAAGATAACTCAGAAGATCAATATTTAAAACAAAATTGCAGGAGTGAGAATAATTTTTTATGGAGCTTCATTGGAGAAATTATTACAAATAATAAATACAAAAGAGAGGAAATAGATTCTGGACACACTGGGAAACCACTTTTTCAGAGCGTTTCAGTGATTTTAAATAGAAGTGTCAGGACTGAAGCTTTCTTTGCTAAATATTCTGAATGTTTATATTCTGAAATTTATCAAAATTTGTTTTGTGAGCTCTTTTTTTTACCGGTAGTTTTTAATTTATACAAGATTGTCCTCTAAGCTTCTGAATGATACCTAATGCATACAGTCAGCAGGTAAAAAAAAATTTGAATATTTAAAATAGGCATTTTCTTTATAGTGCTCTGCGGTAATTAAAATCTTCATTTGCTTAAAAGCAAGGAACCTTTCTAAAGCAATAAATTAGCATTGCTTGACCCAAGGTCACTAGTAGTACTGCTTCTTCCAGCGCTATTAATACCTCAAAGAAAAAGAAGGGGTGGTGTTATCACTCTGTTGCAATAGAAGTAAGATTTTCAATTTAATCATAGTTAAGTGTCATGACCTTTTGGTCTTGCATTGACTTCTCACTGAAATGTGGTCAAATTTCAGACAGCTAATTCTAAAATCTGCAAAGTCAAGGTGAAGTCAGAAAATAGGTTTGCCACGATTGGGGGTGTTTTTGATGCAGTAGCAAGTGGTTTCATTTCTTAAGTTTTGTTTCACAGCAAAAACTTTTTTAATGGGATCAATAAATTACTGAACAATTTCTGAGGGGAAAAAAGAAATCTTTTCCTGTTTGTATTACTTGCAAAAACAGTAATTGGAGGGATTTTAAAAAAAATATTTTTCCAGGCAGGTAAAGGGACCTTTTTTCCCAATTAATAGTCATAAAAATAATTAAGAAGGAAAATGCTATGTGACTAAGAATAATTTTTGAGCCAAAGAGTGATCATCTTCACGGAAAGTAGAATTAATAATGTGTCAAAAATGCAAAACACTCATATTTACACATATCCTTTTGTAGGTCATTTTATTATTTTAGGCAAATAAATCATGTGCATTGGAGAGCGTTAACTGGGAGTTTGTAAGACCCATTATTTGTGCAAGTTCTAAAGCAGTTCATCCAGTATCTGGTCTCATCTATACCACTGCAGATCGGGGCAATGCTGTACATTTCAGTGATCTCGTAGTACTATAACCACTGTGAAAGTATGACGAAAAAAGGCTCTTCTATCAGTTTTGCAGATTTTGTTCCAGAAATGCGTAGAAAACAATCTCCACAACTTTGTAGTGTTGCTTAGTTACCTTTATATGCCTGCTTGAAAATATCTTTTGAGACTTTACTATGTGTTGGATTAAGGCTCTGGTTTGTATACAACATAGAGGCTGCATTATAAAAAAACATGTAGGAGAGTAGTTTAAATATGCCTTCTCTAAAAAGAAGGTTTCTCAAAGCTTAATTTATGCTCACACACACACCAAGCACTCTGTGTAGTGCCATAAACAAGATTCCCTTTTTTTTTTTTTCCTAGCAAAAATATTACCTAAGCACGGGACTTTTGCATTATCATGTCCTAGTGCAACACTCCTGTCCTTAGTTTGTACTCTCAGCCTTTTGAGGAAGTCTGGCGCCTCTGATCTATTTTCCACAGCAGACCCTGTAATTTTTGGCTGTATTTTATGTTTTTCAGATTCAAGTCAATCTGAAAGTCCCAGCCAGCCAAGTGAAGCTGATATTAAGGACCAGCCAGAAAATGGTAAGTTCTTACCTGCTGCTCCTGCTTTGGGATATTAAAACAGCCCATATTTATAAAGATTTTTTTTCCTATGTCTAATATAAAAAGATTACTCAGAATAATTGACATGGGATAGCTACAAACAGGTTGTGTACTCTCCTCATAGCTAAAATGCTATTGTTTCACTAATCTAAGGTAGCATTTGTTTCTCCAGTCCTGGAGAGAAACTTTTTTTTTTTTCATTTAAGAATAATTTTAATTAGGGAGATGCCACTAAAGAGCCTGCTGTATGCAACCCTTATCCTTATTCCTCCATAGCAAAGGCTTTCAATCCCTGGGCCGTGAGTCATGACCCCCTAGGGGGGTGTGCTTCATTGCTTTCATTTTTATCTATGTGCTTTTAACTTCATTTTGTTTATTGATGCTCTCACATGACACACTGAAGTACCTAACTTTCGGTATGCGGCCAGCCATCATTTTAGAGTGCAAGATCTCAGACAGTCCCGCAAAACAAAATGGTTGCTTTAAGTATGTTTCTGCAGACCCATTCTCTACTGCAAAAATCTCCTAAACAAAACTGAGCTGCAACACTCCCCAACATCACCGTTTCAGGGCAGGACTGCACACCTAACACAGCAGCTGCTCAGGCAGGTGCCCGCTGCGGGGCTGATACAGGTGCCACCGGTGTTGTCTGTATTTTTTATCGGCGTGCTGTAAAGGTTGTCGATACTACGGGTGAGCAGGGCAGGGAGGCTCAACTAGAGCTTGTTGCTTCTCCTTCTTCTCTGTATGTTCGCAATACCATTGTTTCAGGCGGCAGCGGCTTATTTGGAAGTAGCAGCAGGACTGTGACTTTTGGGAACACTAATATGTTTTGAACGGGGACAGTTTTAAAGTAGAAGCAATAGCTTCTATTGAATCAATGGCTTGCATTGTAAAGCAGCCTGAAAAAAAAAATCATTCAATAATAGGGAATTTCTGTAGGGACTGTATGTGAAAGGATAAGTATGTGTGTAAGGCAACAGCTTCTCTTCCTTTTTATGTTTAAGTAAGGTAGACCTCAACAATTTTTGTTGGCCCATTGGCAACTGAGTTTTGTTTTACTACTTATATTTAGGACTTTGAAATAATGTCTCCCAAAGTGAAAATGGTTATTAGTAATAGTTTTTCTTGACGTTTTTTATCCATAACCAGATTTTTTTTAATACATCTAAATGTAGATGGGGGATTCACTGTATGGGGGTCTACTGTGCATACATGGAAAAGGATTTGTGTGAAGGATTTGTGTCTCTACGACCTGTCACCATTTTTGGTACATTTAAATCCATCGCATGCAGAAATATTGTTCTAATAATAATACAACTGCGATTGCCCTTTCACAGAGCAACTAACTGGTTTTGCCTCAAATCTTTGCGGTGTACCCCTACAGCTGTCTGTATGTTCAGTGTGTGTTTTGGGGACTTTATTAGCAACTGAACAAGCTGCAAGTGGGAGTGAGGATGAAGGGCTGTATTCACATTTGGACTCCATTTAGATCAGGGTTTAAATAGCAAATAGAGTCAAGGGAAGAAGAAAAGGTTTAAGAACACAAAAAAACATTAAAATACGAGCATATATCATAGGACATAGAACATAGGGCTCATTGGGCTGGTAAAATTTTGGCTTTTGGGGTTCCTGTATTTTCCTCCCATTGAGATATGAAAGGTTTCATATTTTGATAGATTTTGTGCTGCTCATCTATAAACGTACCATCTTAAAACATTTCTGTTGTTTCTGAAAGACAGCGCCTAATTTCCCTTATCAATCCTGTTCACAGAAATTCTAATTTGTAGCCAAAAGATTGCGAGGTTAAGAGAAGAACTGACTAAACTGTGATTTTTGTTCTGCCAATTCTGGGGTTTTTTTTGGGGGAATATGTTGCCTATGTTTATTAAATCATATTTTAATTTAGAATGTATTAGGCACCAAGCATGTTATTATTTCGTGTTTAGATAATATTCTTTCGCAGCTATTAAACCACAGTTGTTCTTACCCTGCAGTCTTAAGGAAGCCTGTTACTTAACAACCGCCCAAAAAGCAGCAAAATCAGTGTTAAATAATGTAAAATCTGTAAGAGCCTAGAGAAATTAAATATCTCTGATTTGGAGCCCAATCTTCCTTGTAAAACAAGCTTTTAGTGAATTCTTGGAACTTTACTGGTGACCTGCACAAGGTACTTTTTTTTTAATAAACAGGAAAAGGATTTTGCTTTTTCTCAGTTTTACTAAAGGGTATTTTTCCCCACCACAGCAGAGGCCTCCTAACTGATTACGCACCTTTTGCAGCGCCTGTGTGGGAGATTTTCTTTACAAATACATCTAACGCAGTCTGTTGGCCCTAAAGGGTTTGCTCCCCCTGGGCAGACGCTGAGCTCATTCTCAGCGCACACAGCCCCCAGCTTGCAGTGTACCCAGTGTGTAGATCAACACAGATCTGCAGCTCTTATCTACTGAACGTGAGGATGAAAGCAAAACTGCAGGCTTTAGAAAATGAAAAACTGCACGCACAAAAACGGACACAATAAATCATATTAACTGCGTTGTTCTACACTTGCTGTAGACCCACTTCCACAGGGCCTGATCCAAATCCCTCCGGAGTCAATGGGAGTCTCGTAATTGATTTTACTGAGATTGGGAATGAGCCCACACAGAGAGGAATTTTTTTTTTAATCAAAGAAAAATAATATTGTGAATAATCTTATTCCCACTGACGCTAACAGCAGAATGACCAGATTGAGGGCAGATTTGGAATCATTTTGCATGTGGTTCTGGAAGGCACAAAGAAGAAGTGTATCGATTAAGTACTACCTTTTACATGCATGCATTCCTTCATTTTAAAAAAATAAATCTTTAAAGGCCTTGTGAGGGTTATACAGCCTCTCTACTTGCCTGTTAATATCCTTTCTGTTCCACTCCATAAATTCTAGAGCTATTTATTATACACATATATTTTGCATACCTTGAGTAATGTAGGTTCAAAAGGGTCAACTATACAGCCCTGAAAAAGAAGGCCTCCTACTACAGATTTTAATTTATCATTTTAAATTGTATGTGTTATTTTGGAAGGCCTGTATGTCTAACCTTCATTAAAGTGAAGTTCACGAGAAAAAAAGCTTTTCTTTTTCAGACCCACTCCTTTTTTCCTAGTGGGATTTACAGTTGCATTTGCTGGAGCAGAATCATAACAAGCAGAGAAGATGGTTCCATCTTCTGCTCTCAGTGGTGGCTTTAACACCAACTCGAGTCTTTTCTTTAGCCTTTGTTAAGCCAGAATAGTTTTCAGGCTTTCACTTACCTGATCACTACTGCAAAAATCTATAGAAATACTGAGAATTTATTTTTTTCTAGATAGAGAGAGAGAGATCCAGCATGATGGTCATGAAAAGCAAACACGCGGGTGAGACAGGGCTCGTTTGTGCATGTATGGTCCAAGGTCCGGATGTCTTGTCCTGGAACTAAAAACACGTAACCGAATGTGTTTTTAGTTCCGTGGTACCGTGTGCACGGTGCAGCTGCCTCTCAGGTCCATTAGCATGGGAAACAGCTTCTCGGGGAGAGGAAGAAAACCCAGAATTTGTCTGTTTGTTATGTGGGTGAGGAAATTTGCAGGAGGGATGATGAAAGAGGCCAGCAACTTCATTTGAAAGGCAGGAGCATGTTCCGATGTCCTGATATTTTGCTCAAATGAATTTTTTTTCTGACCAGCTGGGTGGAACACCCGTGTGGAAAATTCCCCACTTTTGTAGTTGCCTAATGGTATGTAAAAGCTTCATTTCAGTTGGCACTGCAAAGTGATTTTGCAATTCACCCAATCAAAAAAAAAAGGTTATTGATTTTAAAAGCTTGTTAAATCCACTGGTTTGGTGTTGTATTTTATAAACAAACTAGTTTTCAGTGAACTGAGGATGACAAAATGGCTAGTCTGATGTAGTAAAGTGACTGCATGCCTGGGGATCAGGAACAACTGAATTCCCGGCTCAGCACTGCCGTGGACTCTCTCTAGGGCTTTTATTCTCTCTTTCCGTCATGGAAACGGCTATCGGATAGATTTTCTTTTTGTAAGTAGGATTATTTTAAACTTTTGTAGGAAAACTTTTCAGACTTTTTGTCTGCAAAGTGGGGGTATTTGCAATTCTAGCGTTCAGAGATTCATAGAATATGAAAAGTCAAATCCTGCTCTGTCCCAGCAGGAGTTTAACTCTGGAGAAAGGCAAGGAGGGTGTAGCACAAAACTGGTTAATAATTGTGGTACAGCGCTGTGTTACTGCTGTCAGTAAATGGATGTCAGACATCCACCAGGCAATGTTTGCATTTGATGTGGTAGTACTGGCAAATTAATAACTGCAGCGTAAAGGTACACACACAGTGTGCTGTGTAAAGCAGAAGAACGCTGTGTCATTTTCTACAGACAACCGATGTCTCTCGAGCATGTGGTATTGTGATTTGGTAACTCAAAGTTGGTAGCACACCACTTTAATTGTAGATTAGCAAATTCTTTTTAAAGAAGTTGGTAAAATTCTCCCATTTCAAATGAGCAAGACAGCACTCATTATTACAGCTGATTACAAATGTGTGCCAAATGCATTGCTCAAACAATTTCTGTAAAGGGAGAGGCATTTATCTAAAAAATAAAAATGTTTAATGCCTAAACAAAATGCTTTTTAGTTTTAATGTATTCTTGCTGCTTTGAGCTGCAAGTACCTTAACAGCACTGCAGGAAATGAAAGGCACATTGTTCTTTGTAACATTAAAAAAAAAAAAAGAAAAAAGAAAAACAATGATGTACCGTAACTCACAGAACTCGTTTTTCAACCCTGCAGTAATTACACTGGACTTGTAAATATCATCTGTGAATTCTTTGCTTAAGTAGGGCTGGACTTGAGTATTAAACCTTAAAAAAAAGTTAAAGTATATGCTTACTTTTCCATGCCTGAAAACGTAAATGAAATTCTGGTCCTCAAGCTGTGGGGGAAAGAGAAGGCA